ATTTATTTAGATGCTTTTATAGTAACGTGGATTAAATGCACACTTATCCCTTCAATTTTAATGAGATTCATTTTACTCCAAGTATTAGCCATCTTCAGTTCTCTTATTACAGGGACGATGGGGTAGTCTAGTGGTTAAAGGGTTCGCTCATCACGCTTAAGACCCGGGTTCGATTCCCAACATGGGTACAATGTGTGAAGCCCATTTCTAGTGTCCCCCGTCGTGATATTGCTGGAATAGTCCTAAAATCCATCTCATTCACCCTCTTATTGCAAACCAAAGCCATCTTTACATGACATGTCACGAGCAATTCACAGTACCTTTTAACATTGGGGCAAAAGAACTTTTTTTTTCTAAATTTAACTGAAAATTGAAAATACCCAAACAGACTTTGTTAAATTTGCTTGTCTATTCACCCATCACTCATTGTGCAACATATTGTCAAAACTGATTGTAATTTTGTGCAGTTTTGTGTAATTTTGTGTAAAGATTCGTGAAATGAAGCCTGGGCTAAGGAACGAGTTCTATCACTACATTACCCTACCGTATTTGAAACGTTGACAATTTGTACATGTGTTGAAAACCCCCAAATATTTTTATTTATATATCTATGCCGCCCAATACATTTATCGGCTTTAGTGAATATCTTGTTTCCTTCAAAATTTTGTGAAGTTTCAAATCAAATTATATTTTGTAGAATCAAACAATTATTTGAGTGCTTGCTAAGTGATAATGGTATTTGTCAGTCACAGTACATGGGTGGGGCCGAGGTGGTGGTGATTAAATTTTAATTCAATTTCATTAATACTTTATTGCACCGACTTATCAATTAAATGGTTGTGAGACAGTACAAAAACGCTCAAAAACAAACATCATTACATTTATGACAATATTCCTCATTTCCCCGCCCCTAAAATACCGGAAACTGTACAGCTGTTTGTTTCGTTATTTACTTATTCCTTGAATAAGAACGAGGTAACTTGAGCATGGATCTTTAATCTCCGAGTGGTAACATTTCGAGTTACGTCCCTTGGCGGGAGCATTCGTTATAGTCATTGCGGGGAGAATTAATTGTTAATTGTTTACCAGTAACGTAACCCTGTTTACAACTGAAAGCATTCTTTCCTCTGATGTACAGAGTTGTGTCCCTTTGCTTACAGATCCATTATGTTACTCCAAATAGTTTTCAATGTACATTGCTGGTATGGCGGTCTGTCTGTCCAAAATCGATGTAAACTTTCCAAAATTGTTAACACAGCAAGTAACCTTCCTGCACTTAAAATGCAAGATATCGGCACTATTTACAAGCAGCAAATTGAAAAAAAAGCACGTACAATTTTAAATGACAGCACTCCTGTCCTATTTCCTGAATTTCAACTTCTTCCTTCTGGTCGACGACTGCGCACGCCGATATTCAGAACAAACAGGGCTCGAAGTTCTTTCATCCCATCAGTGTTTTAAATGAATTGTTTAATCATAAACAATACTTTATCAATTGTTTCAAACTGTTATATTGATATACTTTTAGTGCTAATGTTCCTCAGCCAAAATTTAAATGTTGCCATTACAGCTCCAAACCTTAAATATATTATTATCATTTATTCATCATGTATCTTTACCTCAGATATTGGTGTTGTTGCCAGCTATTTTAGTAATATTTGACATATGTATGGGTGTTTTTGTGGTTTTATGTATATGTGTATTTTGTTGTATTGTATGTGTTTTCAATGTTAATCGTGTGAGGTAAATTTCCTTCGGGATAGTAAATCATTATCTTATCTTATGCCAGATACGGCCAGGATATACATCGAAGCATTTACCATAGCACCATCATTCGTTACCATCGTTACGTGTAATGGAGGACGTCAACGATCGGGGGTGACAGATTGTCAGTGCAAACTGATCGCCATGACACCACACTTCAAGCAGCAGGACAACCCGTACGTCCTCTCGACAATGAGAAACTTTAAGACAACGCAGAATGACACCCGGAATCCTAAACGTCAGTCATTGCGTATTGAAGTCATTCTAGGCACTCCCAAACCAATTAGCAGGACGGTGGAAAAGTAGCATCGAGTTGTTCAATCAAGTATACCCTAACTCCCATCCCTTCGGGAATAATATTAATCAAAACTGTTTATCATGAACACGTATTTGTTCAGTCATGTGTGTGAACCTTCCGCAACAAGGAACAAGACATATTACCGCTTGTCCGATCAGTGTTAGACAAATGAGACTTGAGTTCATGAACAGTGTCTGTTAGTGAATATGTGAGTGAGTATGGTTTTACGCCGCTTTTAGGAGCTTCACACATTGTGCCGATATTGGGAATCGAACCCGGATCTTCGGCGTAATGAGCGAACAATTTAACAGTAGGCTAACCCACTGTCCCTTGTCAAAATGAAAACAATGAAAACAATGAAAACAATGAAAACAAACACGAAACACTCTTATCTCCTAAACAGTGTAACAGGTCAGGGCCCCGTTTCACAAATCTCTCGTTAGCCTAAGTTCTCGTAACATTTCTCGTAGCATTCGTACCTCCTATACTGTAACATAAGAGGTACGAATGCTACGAGAAAAGTTACGCGTTACGAGAGGTTTGTGAAACGGGGCCCTGGAAAACAGAAATGAGCTTCACACATAAAATGAAACATACAACTTTATGGATGACAACTTCTTATTTATTGCACAGAGCGACGTTTCGATGTAGTTCCTTTCATCGTTATCAAGCTAAAAGTGAATACAACCAGATGATGAGAGGTATATATACATAGAGTGTTTTGACAAACAGCAGATTAACATTAGCAACAGCAACATGCAATCTAATAACAACTTGCCCATAATTATGAGAGGCCAGTGGGAGACTAAAACCAATATGAGACAGACAAAATAGTTTATTTATGTGTCACGTGACACCAGGCCAGATGGCCAATGAGACACACTGGACAATATGTGCATAAAATGTATAAGATATAAGATTAAAACATTAAGGAGTATCACACATATGAAAGACCTTACGAAAAAGAAAGAAACTTTATAGGGATGATAGCTTACGCCGATACATACGGCTAACTAAAGAGGCCAGTGGATTAACAATAATTTCTGTTTGTAAGAGGAGTGTAGCTTGTTCAGTGTTTGATAACAGAGCAAAATTTGGGTGTAAGATACTAGATTTTCTAAACAAATCATACCGAAGATCAGAATAATAAGGACAGCTAACTAAGAAATGGACTTCGTCCTCGACAGCCTGACTACTAGAGTGACGACAAAGCCTGTCTGCAAGTGGCGTCGCAGGACGAGAAAATCTACCACGTTCTATTTCTAATGGAAGTGTACCACAGCGAAGTTTACCTAGAACGCTAGAATGAGGCTGGTGACGAAGCCAATAAACAAGGGGGATTAAGTTGTAATAACAAGCTGATTGGGTGTTTTTATAGAGTCAATAGTTGGATTAATTCTTCATAGGCCGAAGGTATGTTGTATCCTTGGTCTCTCTTGATCAAAGGTTTGTGGCGGCGGATTTCGATGGCTTCCAAAAGTCAAAAGATGAAGCACCCAATCAACTCAATACCCCTTGTTTATTGGCTTCGATGGATCTACATCGAAACATCGCTCTATGCAATAAATAAGAAGTTGTCATCCATAAAGTTGTATGTTTCATTTTTGAGTCACCAACTTCTAGAATGCCGATCAGACAACATCGTACCCATTGTTGGGAATCGAAACCGGGTCTTCAGTGTGACGAGAGGACGCTGTAACCAAGGTTACCCCACCGCCCCAGTGAATATGTTCTCCGCAAGTCTTTGAATTAGTTTATAGACACTGAAATTAAAAGCTTGACACAAGTTAAATCGAGTCCCACATTATATTAACATAAATATGTGTTTTATCCAGGTAAAAATACTGATTTTGGCTGTGTATTGGCAAATAAATTGTATTGCAATATGTTGCGATTCAAGTACCGGTATTCCGATACGTATTGCGATATAATGGGAGCTTAAGTGTTTGACAGTGAGTGACACTAATTGTACATGTCGATCCTATTTTTCTAAGTTCCTAAACATTACTGTTAAGCAATCCCAAAATAGGTTGCATAATCAGAGATTCTATTTTCCTTTTTATTCAGTTTATAGTGTCTTCAGTTTACAGCACTTTTACAGGTCTATGACGGCGGTCTGTAAATAATCGAGTCTGAAACAGACAATCCAGTGATCAACATTATGAGCACCAATCTACCCAATTGGGATACGATGACACGTGTCAACCAATTCAGTGAGCCTGACCACCCGATCCGATTAGTCGCCTCTTACGACAAGCATGAGTTGCTGAAGACCAATTCTAACCCGGAACTTCACGGGTCTATTGCAGAACATGCTTACAACCTTTGTGACCACGAACTATCATCTCTGATATTCATCACTGCTACCAGATTTACGCCGACATTTTAGAATTCGTTGGATGGTCAAGGCTGTCTTCTTTTTCTCTCGCGTTGACGTGTTACGTTGGTCGATCAAGTAGTTAAATGAGTTAAATATCCTTACCTCACATAAGCAGTTTAAGCCACAGCAGTGCGATGAACCCTCTTTAAAGTAAACCGAGTGAGCTCTGTTTTACGCCGCTTTTAGCAATATTCCAGCAATATATGGGCTCCACACATTGTAATCATGTGGGGAATCGAACCCGAGTCTTCGGCCTTAAAAGTAGAATATTGTATTAAAACATGCAATCAATAATGACAAAAATACCGTTATTTGCACATATATGACCTATATCCTGTCTATACTAAAACATGTGCTGCGAATGAACATATACACAAAGGATGACACTGTACTCTTCATCAACTAATAATTGTCTCTCCCAGTGAGACCAGCAGTGAGTTAATAATTTCGATGACAAGGGGCCAGTGGATCCCTGCAATGATTTGGACACAGATGGCGCCATAAATTAAGTTTGAACGTATAAAATGACATTTCAAAATTATTATACCAAAAGGAAGGATGGCGTCCCTTGTACATCTAGTGCTGCTGACGTCGCTTCTTGGACAAGCAGCATCAGCAACAACTACCGTCAATATACCTGGGCTCGGCATCATCTTTGGCAACGTCAGACCTGGGTGTTACGAATACCTTGGCATCAAGTACGCCACGGCTTCGAGGTATGTTTAAGGTGTTTTCTGTTGTACGTACAGTCAAACCTCGATAAAGTCGATCCGGACAATCCGAAATTCTCCCTTTCTGGGTGACTGATTGGTGCATTGTTACGACTAATTGATGCATTGTTACGACTGATTGTTACGACTCTTTGTTAGGACTGATTGAAGCATTGTTACGATTGATTGGTGCATTGTTACGACTGATTGGTGCATTATTGCGACTGATTGGTGCATTGTTACGACTGATTAATGCATTGTTACGACTGACTGCATTAGCCAAACGTGAGCGTTATCACCCGATAAAGTTAGTTAACTCTTTCTGATAACTTTCTTCATGATCTGTAATTTTTCCTTTAACGTATTATTTGGGAAAACCCCCAAGTGAGGTTCGATTGTATAGGGTTATCCAAATGGGCCTTTTCATACCTGTCCCTTTTTAATGTTAGACCCAAAGATTATATTTGGAACAATACCATTAGGGCTGATGCAGCGAAATATTATTTCAAATAATAGCGAGTCCCTGTTTGACGGGTGTAGGAAAAACTGATCAAAGCCTGATTTGAAGACTGGGAAAGACAGGGTTAGAAATATTCACAGCTTGGTTTGTAACTGCTAATGTACATGAGAACATGTGGCTGTGGCTGTAACTGTGGCTGTTTTTTAAAAATATGTAACCTTTAAAAGATCATATTGACTCACTACGTATACTACACATCAACAATTTAGACTCACTTAAAACACTCACTACATGTTATGTATATATATATAGTTTACATCGAAGATGAATTTCTCCACTAACTTGGGGGAACCAACTGCAAACCTTATGCAGATGAATTGCACAAGGATCATGCATCAAATTGCTGAAAACATGTGCAAATATCATGCATGTGAACAGCTGCGTTTTGGTTTAAAGTTTTGTTACGAATTCGCCAATTTTCACTGAGTTTCATCATTTGTTGAACTCATGACAATAATCTTTTCAACGTTACGAATTTGTTTTACAATACATCAGTTCATGTGTAAACAATACCTTTACACAGTATGGAATATTTTGCAAAATCTAGTTTAGAACAGTTGGCTGAAGTAAGTGGCTACATTTACACTAGTGAGTCTAAACTTTTGATGGGTAGTATATTTAAAGTAAACAACCCAGTTAAACATTTAGTTCAATAGATATTGATAGAAACTACATATACGTCAAGCAAAATATCTGTAGCTCATCTTCAAATGATTAGAAACGGAAGTTATAAATATGGAAGTAATTACGGTCAAAATATTTATGTAATACCTGATTTTGTGGAAACAAACGCAGACTTATAAGTGTATGTTGTGTCAAATGTGTGTCATCAAAATAAGTTTACAAGGTTTTTAAAATGATAATTCCTTCAAACACGCAATGCTTCTGCGTTATGAGAAATCCTTGATTATAAATTGTGAACGATTGTTTCTCAATATGAAAGGCGAGAGAATGAGTAAGTGAGTTGGGTTGGTGTCATTTTTAAAATATAGTTGTGTGATGGCGTGTCAGTTGATTGTGAAACGTCTGAGGCAGTTTCTGTTTGATAAAGTTACGAGCACAAGTAAAACAGACAGACCAAGAATCATAATCAGCACACCTCCGAGATTCGAACACATACGCATCGTATTCGAGTAGCAGTATATCAATGTTGTTCAATTCTGTCTGGGGCGATGGAGTAGCCCAGTGGAGCGTCCGCTCGTCACGCTGAAGACCCGGCTTCGACTTCTAACATGTCTACAATGTGAGAAGCCCATTTCCGGTGTCCCCCTGCCCTGATATTGTTGGAATATTGTTAAAAGCGGGTTAAATTAATACTCACACAGTCCTGTTTTATCTTACTAAACATGTCAACCTTTTGAAAGTTTTACCTTGATTGTTTTAATCCTTATCAAACAGTTTGGAGCATGACAAATTTCACAAACAATACTATATCAATACGGTTATTATAGGTTTGAAGAGTCGAAGTCTGTGCGCCCATGGCCGAACCCCTATAACGCAACATCACGTGGCCCCATGTGCTTCCAGAAATGTCCTGCTGTTCCACGCTTGGTTTGCCAGGATGAGGTAGATTTACGTTCGTGTATTTTAAGAGCTATTGGATTCGAATTACGTATATGTCCTTTAGTCAATAGACCAGCCCCCGAGATCTCCGTTAGTCGCCTCTTACCACAAGCATGCTCAAGATCAATTCTAACCAGGATCTTCACGGGTATTATCCCGAGGTCATTATAAAAAGACTTCTTTCTCATTGTACTCACCTTTTGTGCCGTGTTATCAGTCTTAAAAGGGGGCCTCCACTAAAGGCTTTCTAACGTCATCTGTAGAGACTTACTGAGTAGAGTCAAGACTAGTCTGTCTCTCAGTCCACATTATTTTCCCTAATGCTCTGCCCTCCCTGCAGTGCTAAAGTCCTAAATAAAGCAAGTCTAGCTAGATTTCCTTAGGTTCAGGTCCTGAATCTCCCAACTCACTGGGGCTCCTTTTCAATTTAAATGGGTTTATTTGTTACTATCAAAATTGTATGTATTTGGGAACTAAGCATTAGTATAAATCAAGACAAGACAAGACAAGACAATCGTTTATTGTATTTTAGGCCACCGGCCCTTATACAAGCGAGTTACATACATTAAGACATGGTTAACTGTAAGTGCTCGTTACGACGAATAAATGCATATTTAACATAGAGAGCTAGATTGCGTAGGGTGGATTCATTATTAGTTGTTAATAAACTGGTAAAAGCTATCAGTGGTGGTTCCGACAGATAACGTTCTGGGATATACATGTAACGTAAATCTTCATAAAATGGACAGTCAAGGGTAAAATGTAGTTCATCTTCTACTGAAGAATTACATAAAGGACAAGATCTTTCAGATTTTGGGATGGACAGTTTTCTGCCTCTATTTACCATTAAGTCCAACAAACCTGTCCTATATTTGACAAATATATTTCTGTTACACTTAAAAGTAAGTTTAGATAAATACAGTTCAGGTTGTAATATGTTTTTAAATATTCTATGTAATTCGTATTAGTATAAATCAAGACCTTCGACTCCAAGTTTTCAAGCTCAGTATTTAGTATTTAATTGTACAAAATGCATCATAAAATTATTTTGAATAATTACATGTTAAGTAATTCCCTTGTGTTCAGTCATAATACCACCATACTAATTGTTCTACATCTTATATCATAGGTTTCGAAAGTATTCTTCAAATACGCGAAGCTTCATACACACACTTAATCAATCTTCCGCAAGGTCTCGGAGGACTGTTTGTTTCTGAACATCTTCACACCGACGGGAGCGCCCTCTGGTAGGTGTGTCATGGTGTTCGTACATGGCGGTAGCTTCAGCTCATACAGTGGAGGATCTCGGTTATACGATGGCGAGGAGTTTGTCAAGAAGGGTGGATGTATTCTTGTAACTATCAATTACAGATTGGGTGAGTATGTTAAGAATCGAGTTTATTGTTTAACGTCGTACTAAAGTTATCTCAACTGTATGACAGCGACATGTTCATCGTGTCTGTTATCTAACTCTGTGCTGAGCAATATCCCTGCTATATGAGGTGTAAAATGAGTGAGTGAGTTTAGTTTTACGCCTCTTTTGGCAATATTCCAGCAATACCATTGCGGGGGACACCAAAATGGGCCTCGCACATTTTACCTATATGAGGAATCGAACCCGGATCTTCGACGTGACGAGCGAACGCTTTAACCCCTAGGCTACCTACGAAAGGTTCGAGTCAGGACCAAACAGTGATTGATATTATGAGCAACGAACCACGGTGTCGGGGTAGACAGGTACTCCAGTCCGAACACCAAATCCATTTGGCCGCTCAGTAAGGCTAACACTGCTTCCCTGTAATCAATTCATGCCTGGCATCCCTACGCATTGATGGAGGCCTAAAGTAGAGATATTGAGTGGTTATTGTTTTACGCCGCTTTTAGCAATATTCTAGCAATATCAAACGAGAGAGGCCTGAAGTGGAAGTGCTCAGTGTTGTGTTTCATGGTTGCAGCTGCCTTCGGATTTTTGGGCTCAAGAAATCTGGGACTGAGAGATCAGATGAAGGCCCTTGAATGGATCCATAGGAACATTCAGTCCTTCGGGGGAAACAGAAGGGAGGTAACTCATTCAAACAGAAAATTTGCAGTTGATGGAGATAAGGCCAAGCCTCATCTAATGATAATTGGTGTTTATTCTAACCAATGATTGCCTCCTAGATGAGTGTATCAACCTATGTTTGCCTTCTAAAATAGTGTTTCACTCAATGACTGACTGCTACAATAGCCTTTCATCCAATGATCGGCCACTCCCTTTTCTGTAAAGTAGTTATGTAAAGTGGGTAAATTGATCATGCAGATGTTTAAACACGGTTTGCCACAGGCTTTGTGTGTTTTCCTTAATAGTGTTAGAACTTACATGTTAATCTCAGACAATGAATGAAAAAACTTCAATTGGCTGTTTCCATAAAGCAGCATAATCCATAACGAGATGGAGGGAGGCCTTTAGACAAAATGAAGGTGTAATACGTGCATCGATCATGTTGACTTAACTTGGATTTTGTTCGAAGTTTTTAAAATATAACACCATGTTTCCACAGATAACTGTCTTCGGCCAGAGCGCTGGGGCCCAGTCTACTGCTCTGCTGATGAGCATCCCCTCCGCCAGTCAGTACTTCGATCAAGCCATCCTCCAGAGTTGTCCCTTCACACTGCCCTTCAGAACCGCAGCTCAAGCTGACAGCCAAGAAGCTCAACTGGCCACCTTGATAGGATGTGATAAGGGAAACCTCACCTGCTACCAGGAGGCTGATGCTGATGACATTCTGGAGCTGCAAGATGAGGTGGAACTTCCAGATGCTTCTTTCTTTATGTCCTTCGAGTTCTGGGGACCTGTCATTGATGACTATCTGGTGAAAGACCACTTGTACAATATCTTCGCACGAGGTCTTCATAAGAAGATGAACATCATTATCGGAACTGTCCATGATGAAGCTATGGGGTACTCATTCAGTTTGTCAACAACTCCTCTTTCCAAGCAGCAGCTTGAGGAGCTTCTTCGCATGATTAGTCCTAAGCTGTCGCTGGAGCTTCTAGGTCGGTTCTATGATATTGATGGCAATGATGACAAACGCTTCGTCTTGGCTGAAATGTCCACGGACTACTTGTTTCGATGTGTTAGCCAAGCCGTTGCAAAAATTGTGTCAAAGGATGCGGCGGTTTACAGCTACGTCTTCGACCAGAAGTTCCATCTCGACATCTGGGGCGAAGGCAACATCTGTAACGACTACGTCTGTCACGGAATCGAACTGCCGATGGTGTTCGGTACGTACGGCCTTTGGAATTACACTCTGACACATGACAAAATGAATCTCTCTGATGACCTCATTCAGTACTGGAATAACTTTGCCAGAGACGGGAGTCCCTCAAGCAAAAATTCGTCACTTCACATGTGGTCATCGTTCAAAACTTGGCAACAGAAATTTCTTCTGCTTCAGGCTGGAGGCATACATATGGAATCAGATCCATCTAGTTCGATTAAGTGTTCCTTATTGGAACAATTTCTTGGTTTTAATCCACGTTAATAGCAAACCAACTGAAAAATCTAGATTGGTTCATGGTGTGAAAAGATGTAAGACACGTTCAGAGCAATACTATGGATTTCAAATAAATATCCACCTGTTGTTTTCATTCCTTTTTCATGCCTTTTGAAAACGAAACATAAATGTTCTAATGCAGTATGAGTGAGTGAGTGAGTATGGATTTACGCCGCTTTTAGCAATATTTCATCAATATCACGACGGGGGACACCAGAAATGGGCTTCACATATAGTACCCATGTGGGGAATCGAACCCGGGTCTTCAGCATGAGGAGCAGACGCTGTAACCACTAGGCTACCCCACCACCCCTGGGCAATGTTGTCTAACGCAATTGGCGTGGTGGTTGCAGTTCTAGCAATAGTATAGCCGTCTGTACATAATCGAGTCTTGACTAGACAAACCAGCGGTTGACGTAATGAGCCCAACAATATCCCTTACCGTTGGAATACGTAGGGAACCACCTGATTTATTGAGGGTAATTTGTGTAAGAACTTGTCTCCAAAAACTGTGATTGTCATACAAGGCGACTTATTGCTGATGAATATAACAGTGTCGAACTCTGACACCATCCACATCAGTTACACTCCCTGGCTGGTAAACACCAGACAAACACAAATGAAACCTTTTATCATGCCTCTGACAGCACATTTTATGGCTTGATAAAATTCCAGTGTCCTATCCAACTGCCTCCTGATAACCACGTCACCCAAATTCGTGAGCGACATCACTTGATCAAATTTATTTCGTACGAACTCAAAATATTACAAGGTTGATTCTTCAATGTAGTATATCAACAAATAATAATAGTAATAATAGTATATTTATCATGCGCATTTCTCCATGCACAATGCATGCTCGAAGCGCCCCAAAAATCTGAATTTTATTATCCCGGATAACCCAATCTGCCTGTGAGGCGCTAGAAGGTTAGTGGTTATATATGACTTAACCCACCGGGTACGTTAATAATAATATAATAATAATAGTTCATTATGTAGCGCCTAGTATCCATCTGACTAGTTGCTCACTGGAGGCTGTAACCACAATCTGATTATTATTATTAGCCCGGATAACCCAAGCTGCCTGTGAGGCGCTAGAAGGTTAATAGTCACATGACTAATCTCACCGGGTACCCATTTTCTGCTGGGTGAACAGAGGCAATTTTGAACAAACTCACTTGCCTAAGGTGAGACCACATGTCTCATGTGCTTCGTGGAGGGACAGGACTGAAGTCCTAGAAACTCTCAGGAGTCAAGCCCAACGTTGCATCACCTGCTTATGACTTGAGCTCTATGCACAGGGCCGAACGCCACCACAACAAATGCCAATATAATATATCAGATTTACAATTGTTAGCAGCCAGGAATGATTTACGTCAGATGAGATGAAATAACGTGGAGATAGTACAAATCCGAAATTTTGACAATCATTTATTGACACTGAAAGTTTCATACAAATATTACCAAAATAGTGCATTTTTTTGTACAAATCCACTGGATAATTAAATATAATACCACAACACGTATACACAGATGGTTTATCAAGACGTGTGCTCTGAAATCAAACCAAGTGAAACGACTTTCAGAGTGTTAGGACTAGTTTTATCACAGAGAACGTATTTCGACTACGGTTATCTCAGAGTGCTAGGACTACCCTTATCTCAAAGAAAGTATTATGTCAACTTATATCTAAGAGTGCTAGGACTATTCTGATCTTATTTTGTTACAGCACCTATTTATCAGAGTGTTAGGACTACTCTTATCTTAAAGTAAGTGTTACAACAACTTATATCTACGAGTGCTAGGACTACACTGATCTTAAAGTGTTACAAGCACATTTTTATTAGAGCGTTAGGGCTACTCGTATCGTAAAGTAAGTGTTACATCTACTTGCATCGCAGATCGTTAGGACTCCTCTAATCTTAAGGTAAGTGATACGAAACTTATATCTACGAGTGCTAGGACAACTCTGGTCTTAAAGTAAGTGTTACATCTACTTGCATCGCAGATCGTTAGGACTACTCTAATCTTAAAATAAGTGTTAAGTAAGTGATACGACAACTTATATCTAAGAGCGCTAGGACTATTCTTATCTTAAAGATAATATTAAAGCACTTAGAACGTTATTACTACTCTTATCTCAAAGTAAATGTTACGGCTACTTGCAAATCAGAGCGTTAGGACTACTCTCATCTTAAATTAAGTGTTACATCTACTTGCATCGCAGATCGCCAGGACTACTCTCATCTTAAAATAAGTGTTAAGTAAGTGATACGACAACTTATATCTAAGAGCGCTAGGACTACTCTTATCTTAAAGTAATATTAAAGCACTTAGAACGTTATTACTACTCTTATCTCAAAGTAAATGTTACAGCTACTTGCAAATCAGAGTGTTAGGACTACTCTGATCATAAAGTGTTACAACACATATTTATTACAGTGCTAGGACTACGCTTATCTTAAAGTAAGTGTTACATCTACTTGCATCTCAGATCATTAAGAATACTCTAATCTTAAAGTAAGTGTTACAACTTATATCTAAGAGTGCCAGGACTACTCTTATCTTAAAGATAGTGTTACGGCACTTAGAACGTTATAAATACTCTTATCTCAAAGTAAATGTTTCGGCTACTTGAATATCATAGTGTTAGGACTACTCTTTCCTTTAACTAATATGACGACAGCAGAATGATGACGTCAAACATCAAGCGCAACCTCCACACAACACAGACTTTCGCAAATGTACACCTGATTTTATAAACTGATTTAGGTGTTTTTTGTTGTATGATGTCAGCCTGAACCCTCTTGGGTCGGGACAAGAAACACAAGTGATGTTTTAATACAAGCTACAGTCCCTTTACATGAACAGAAACACATCAACTGAAAGTTGAATGTATTTAGATTCCCACTTTATCATTAACATGTGCTTATGAATCATTACCAATACTCCTCAAGCCTGATACCTCGTAAAGTGAGTGAGTGAGTATGGTTTTAAGCCGCTTTTGCAATATTCCAGCAATATCGCGGCGGGGGACACCAGAAATGGACTTCACACATTGTACCTATTTGGAAAATCGAACCCGGGTCTTCAGCGACTACCATTTCTGGTGACCCCCGCCGTGATATTGCTGGAATATTGCTAAAAGCGGAGTAAAAACTCACTCACTCACTCTTCAGCGACCACCCCGCCTCCCCTATTTCGTAAAGACGAGAATACGCTGCCTATCCGAATGCCACATCGCACTTCGTAAAACATGAAAAACTTGTTTTATTTGTCATTTTTAATTATTGTTAAATGTGTTTAGTTACACCAGGAAGACAAAGCTTTAAGTTTGGACGTGATTGTGTATTTGATTTTGACATTGATTGACTATTGCTGTGAGCAAACCTGAGATATATATTTCATTTCTAGATGTATAACGTATTAAAACATATAACACATAAGGTTGGCACCAAAATGAGGACTCTCTAAATGACCCAAAACTAACCCAGTATATGGTGGATTGCTGTTATGACGTATGAATAATTTAGATGATCACTGTTCAAACTGAGTTTCATTAAAATATTGAATCTTAAGGATTAGATATCATATTTGCAGTTAGCTTTTGAAGACAATAAATTTCGCAGCATTTAACACATCCTCAAAATTTGCTAGTTTGTAACACCAAACGTAATAAAAAGTGAACATGCCATTTAACAAAAGATAACATCAACTAAGAATTGACTTTAACTTTGTGTAAGTTCATTGGAGTAAGCCTTCATAGAGTGAGGGCCAAACTATGAACGAGGTTGCAAGCTCCAATGTTCACAGTTGTAAACAGTCGAGTGGGTGAGTGAGTTTAGTTTTACGCAGCACTCAGCAATATTCAAGCTATATGGCGGCGGTCTGTAAATGATCGAGTCTGGACCAGACAATCCAGTGATCAACACCATGCGCATCGATCTGCGCCATTGGGAACCGATGACGTGTGTCAACCAAGCCAGCGAGCCTGACCACCCGATCCCGTTAGTCGCCTCTTACGACAAGCATGGGTTGCTGAAGATTCATTCTAACCCGGACATTCACGGGTCTGTAAATAGTCGAGTATGGACGAGATAATGCAGTGACTGAGTATGATCTGTGAATTTGGGATACGATGTCATGCATCGTCAGCGAACCTGACCACCAGATTATTCTCCTTTTACGTAAGCATCAACTGTTGAGTGAGTGAGTGAGTGAGTTGGGTTTTACGTCGCTTTTAGCACTATTCCAGCAATATCACGGCAGGGGACACCAGAAATGGGCTTCACACATTGTACCCATGTGTGGAATCGAACCCGTGTCTTCGGTGTGACGAGCAATCACTTTAACCACTAAGCTACCCCACCGCCCCCATGGACTGCTGAAGATCTGCCAATATTACACCGTTACTCCCCTTATCCATGAATGGGTAAGTCAAAGCGTGACGTCCTTGGCAACATTTAAAAGTACTACATATGTAGCAGTCATTAGGTACTGGTTTATCTTGTATACACAGTTCACGGCTTGTCATTATGTGGGAGGAAGAAATCAAAGCTACAGCTAAAGAGATGCTGGCTGTGGACGCTTATAACACGGGTCACTGAGATGAGAACACAAATATAATAATTAGGATTCGAGGACTCGAACTCAAGAAGGGCGGTCACTAAGAAGGACGCTATCCTGTCGTTCACTATTGGGTCACTGCCTGCATAGAGTTCTAGACTTGTCAAGAGAAGTTCGAAATTATGCATTAAAATTAATCTTTCATTGGAATTTAAGTTCTGCAAAGATTAACTTCTAAATTTCCGAACGTAACAATTTTACTGCAGTCGAATCTCCAAACGTAGCAATTTTACTGCTGTGCAATCTTTACTGCTTTGCTGCTGTGCAATCTCCACACGTGACAATTTTACTGTAGTTCAATCTCCAAAGGTAGCAATGTCACTGCAGTCAAATCTCCAACCGTAACAAAATTACTTCAGTCAAATCTCCAAAAGTAGCAATTTACTACAGTCCAATCTCCAAACGTAACAATTTTACTGCAGTTCAATCTCCAAAAGTAGCAATGTTTCTGCTGTCCAACCTCCAAACGTAACAATTTTGCTGCAGTCAAATCTCCAAAAGTAGCAATTTTACTACAGTCCAATCTCCAAACGTAACAATTTTACTGCAATCAAATCTCCAAACGTACATATTTTACTACAGTCAAATCTCCAAACGTATCACGTTTACTACAGTCAAATCTGCAAAAGTGGCAATTTTACTGCAATCAAATTTCCCAAACGTAGCAAACTTCACTGCAATAAATCTCCAAACGTGGCAATTTCACTGCAATCAAACCTCCAATCGTGGCAAATTTACTGCAGTCAAATCTCTAAAAGTAGCACTTTTACTACAGTGAAAACTACAGAAGTGTGCATGGTGATGACGAACCAAGAATTACAATCAGGGCAAATCTGGAACTCGATTCTACAGCCAGCTGATCATATTTTGCAAAGGGACATAACTCCCCAAAGTAAACTGGTATTCCACTGGTTACCCACATCAAACAAAGGAATATATACATTTATACAGACACACTTTGACATACAAATAACATCTCAATGTGACAGTTTGAAGTATAAACTATAGAGTGCAAGAATACTATGAAATTCCAAGTATTAACAGAAATTACATGCAACAATGCACGCTAGTCCCAACTAGGACACGATGACGTATCCACCGTGTTAACTTGGATAATAATACACTATAATATATTTCCTCCAGCCACAGATTCGTTTGTGCGATTCCATGTTTGAAACTTGTGCTATTTACAGCTGACATAAAGCTGAATGTTTCACGGCGGCACCTCTAAAATGAGTAAAACAGGTTCATAGATTATTTGGTAATTGCTGATAAAGCTCCACACAAACACATGATCCTTCTGTGCCCTCCATATTGCGTGTAAATAACAAGTTGGCTTCACATGGTATCCTGTAATAAAGTCACTATTTTATAACTAAAAGGCAAAATATGTTATACAGTTACTACTTTGAGTTGGTTCCTTTCTATGAAGTCAAAAGCTCAAAGATCAAAGATTCAGGGTCTTCTTTGACATATGACACCAGTTTCAGCCTGTCTATTATATGTGAAATGCCTGGGTTCATAGTTTCCTATGTGGAACTGCACTACATCCACAGGCAGTCGAAGCCAAGTGTACTCACAACACTGATGCTGGTCTTGTTGAATATCCTACATCTCAGAAGCCGACAGTTCCAATCAAGATTATATATGAAGTAGTCATGTGGCATTTGAAAGCAGTGGGCCACCCTCTCAAATGTGTGGTTTTTATTCGGACGTTTGGTCAACAACATCCTGCATAAACTCGTGAATTGTTCAAATCGTTAATTTTAGGTACATGAAGCCTGTTAGCTGTAAATGTACCGTATATCGTGTTTGCAGTGTTAAGATCCAATCGCACTTGCAATGTTTCGTCAGTGCACAAGGTCATGTTCAAGTGGCATGGTCTTAAGCTGTAACAACTTCGTGTTTCATGCCTTTGGCTTCAAAGACTTCATTTTGATTTCTGTGACGTTCTTCAGTAACAACGTCTCCTTTGGTGTCAAGGTCTTCCTGACTATAGGCAGCCCAGATGGCCGTCGATGCGCAAGACACGGGGTCGTGGATTCGTTGCAGCGTTTTAATGAATGGTTATCCATCGTGCAACATGTCTGGTCAGTCAAAGACGTGGGATGACCCATCACCCGAGTCACTGGACTCTTCTTTGGCGTTTTACATCTACAGAAGGCTTTGGCAAGGCAGTTGAAAACAGGTATTCTTCTGAAACGAACATAAAGACAATGTTTCAAAATGAAATACAGTATTAATGAAACTGAACTGTAAGTCTTCGTGAAGTCTAGCGGTAGTTGCTGTTGGCATGTTGTCATACACGACATTGTACAATGATTGCGACATGCATATGTAAAACAAGTATTACCTTGTAACACATGTTATATTTGGAATTGCTTTTTCTTCTTAAAGTACAGATTCTAGTACTTTTGTTGGGTTGAGTCCCATAGCGGATTCGAACACACACCCTCAGTGTCACCTAATCGCCAGCACCCAAAGTCTGGCCTAACCCGACCCGTGGTGGCTTAATGGGTTAGGAGGCTGACTTTGTGTGCTGGCGATTAGCTGCCTGCCTCTGAGGGTGTGGGTTCGAATCCCAACTATAACACGTGTTACATTTGACCACTTTCTAAATGGCATTATGTATTTAAAGTATTGCCTTGATCACCAATAGATATTACAGATCCATGTAACGGTTTCTGTTGCAACATACATGTTTTAGGGTCTCTCTGATATAATGTGCATGGTAGTTAGTGACTATTAAGTACTTACAACACTGCTGTCTCAAACATTACAACTTTGATGTCCAGGGAAATAGGACTTGATTATAGTACAACCACGACTTCGCTATTTCGTAAATGCAAGTTGTTTACATCTTAATTGCTTTTGGGATATTTCATAATAACGACTTGATATTACTTCTTTGTCCGAATCTTGCAATGAGGGGCATATAAAATATATATATATTCCTAATTGTATGCTTGAACAAACACACAGCTGTCAGACATAATGGAATCATATGATAAAAAATCATCTTCGAATGAAAGAAGCATTTTAAACGTTTTCTCATTTTCACCTCTTCGAATAAAATGTGGCTACATTAGCTTCATTTTTAAATATTTCTAACTAAACCAGTTTGGGTTTTACCATTACATAGACACCTGAAATAAAAGTTCATTTCCATCCACATTTCAATTCATGAAATATGGCAAATATAAGAGCGGAAAGCCACATGTCTGTATACACCATTAATCAATACCAATGCCAGAGAAATCTATAGAATATGCTGAGCCAATCTCTCGTTCCTTCGATGAAGAATTGATTCGTAAGTGATAGATAATATGTACGCTGATTAGGAGATGCTGTTGATGTAGAGGATGCCCAGTGCACTGACTGGGAAAACGTGGAGGGGGTAAATGGGGTATGGATTATTCACATCACGAAACAGACATTTCTACGTTTATGAACGATTGAAACCGTGGGGTATTAAGTGCACTTGCCGTCACTGCCAGCTTCTGCGCAATGTTTAACATTCATAGAAAGGACTTGGTCGCAATAGATTAAACCATTCCTTTCGTGGGAACTTGATGAAATTATTTGGTAAAGTACTGTCTTTGTTGGTGCAACATTCGTTTTTTCATAGATCCCAATAGATCATTCCTTTCGTGGGAACTTGATGAAATTATTTCGTTAAGAAATGTCTAGTTTGGTTCAACATTCTTTTCAGTACAGATCACGAAGGTGAAAATTATTTTATGACGGATTTCGCTGGATGTTAGTTTTAATCAGTTGCGACCAGTAATATCATCTTTGATTATCGGGTGTATTCTCCATTCTATTATAACAGTTTTCCTGAACTCATGGGCGGTGTTGTGGCCGAGTGGTTAAAGCGTTCGCTCGTCACGCCGGGTTCGATTCCCCACATGGGTAAAATGTGTTGAGCCCATTTCTGAAGTCCTCCGCTGTGATGTTGCTGGAATACTGCTAAAAGCGGCGTAAACCATACTCACTCACTCACTCACTCACTGAACCCTTTCGCTTCTACAGCCTTGTCTGGAGTCTGGTTCGTATGTCATGACATTAAACTTGCAGTCCAGTATAATTACGCAAATGAGCATTAGAAATCCAAGATTGATGGAAAATGTGACATCACTTTCGAAAAGTATCTGGACTGCATATGCCCCCAGGGTACTTATTGTAATAGAATGGAAATATTACGCCCTGGGTTATCGAGGATGCTGTACTAAAAGGATGAGGGTATACAAGACGACAAAATGATTATGTTTGAAAGACTTTGTTCGAATTAATACATTAATGATGTTTGGTACCACCAAGATAGTTTTTGCCAATTATAAAGGTCTTTGAGTGGCATTTACAAGTGATACAGATAAAGGAGAGAATTTGTCTTTCATATTTTATCATTTATAATATTATATTATATAGAAGTTGACATTTTAAATGTTTCTCCTTTACAAAAATAAGTGAATACAATGTAGCATATTTTGATATGGTTTTCAACTGTAGAATTTCAGTTTTGTTTTGGAATAAGAATCAGTAGAAAAGCAATGAGAATCTTTCAGACACAGGGGATATCAATGAGTGTCGGAAACACCAGCAGCGAGCGGAACGCAGTTAGTGTGTGCGCAGCTATGGGGATCACATGACAATGTACATTGTGATATCAGAGGCATGGGATCAGATGCTGTTACCATGGTTATATTTCATCATCGGAAGTACTGATGTCGTTGAAAAAGTCCAAATAACTTCCATCAAAATTACTGGTATTTCTGTCAAATTAAGATATCCGTTATATCAAAGAATGTGTCTGTCATGATAACAAAGATCCCATGCCGTGATAACATATTCATCGCCATTTGACGCTGAAGCGAAGTGGAAGGTCTCGTATGCGTTACTGTACCGGCGGCGGTCGGTGGGGTTGATCGACGTGCGTTGGGCGACAGTTCTGAAAGAAACACACCCAGCAAAACATGAAACTCATCACTTACCGAAGCATTTCAATTAAATGTTAAACCACTGGAAGACAAGTTTCGATAAATACACCTGTTTTCTTTCCATTGTGTCATATTTCAAGAAACCAGGGTCGGGCATGCATTAAGTACTTCTATTATGTTTTAATCAATTAACATTAAGATCAGTTTAAAATATTTCATTGGAGACAATCAGATATGTCTCATGTTGCTTCACATTTAACAAATTTCCACTTTTATGAATAATTCGTACAAAACGAAATTTTTGATATTTGTTAACATTTCCTGATGCAAAAATTGCTAATATGATGAATAACTCCAGAAACACACCGATGTATTTAATCAGAATTAAAATAATTAGAAATTATGTGCTTTGATTTAAACTGATTGCGAATACTTTTTCCTTTTTGTTATGGAATAATTGGAATGTAAAGTGTCCGTGCTGGAGGTAACATATTTTAACTCAGTTGCATTGTCTTAATAAAATTCGAATTTTAATTTGTTAGACCAAATAATATCTATGATTCTTTAAAGAAACATAGAAAGGACGCAAATAATATTATCTGTACCAACGAAAATATTCCAGATTTATTGCAAATGAATTCCTTGAAATTAAATTTATTTTACACAGAGAACATGTAGTAAACATCCATATGTGTTGTTGAATCTGCGCTTGTAACTTGTAGTAATTAACAGCATAATTATCCAAAGAAAACTACATACACCTGATTGGTGTGTTTCTACTGTGGCACAGTATTATATACATTTACATTGAATGGGATGGGTCTGGGTCGGGTGGGGTTATTGGTGGTGGGTAGAGGTTGGATGTGGGTCGGAGATGACGCTACTGGAACAGACACCTAACAAAGCTGATGCTGAGTTGGGATACAGGGCTTGAAGAACTATGTTTACCGGCTTTGAGAGTGACTGTTGATAGATCCACCGCGACAACCTCTGCAAATGTAAAAAGCTCTGAAATTAAACACTAGACAACTGATTTACATGCAAATACACCGACGCTGTGAGTTCAAAGCAAATCAATACACTGAATGATGATCAATGAGTTACTGTTGAAGCTAAACGTTTGATCGCATGCTGTTATCAACAGCAACATGAGGCGCAAATACTTGTAAGAGCCGTTGTATGAGAGAAGCGTCTTTGTGTGACAGACAAGACCGACATAAAGAAAGAAAACATTATATACACTGAATATATGTAGAGTTAGTTAGTGAGGCTTAACGACATCTTTAATAGTATTCTCGTCTTATCAACGCGTGACTGCTTATTGTGGGAGGGAAACCCGAAGTAATGTGGGTCTCGTTGGTGAAATCCACCTCCAGATATAGTTTGACAAAGCATGGTGCAAACCCACAACGGAATTCCCAGTATAATTCCCAGTATATCGCTTTCGGAAGGCATTCATCATATAAATACGTATATAATCTGAGCTGATTTGACAAATACGCTATATAATATATTTATCAATTTATATGAAAATTCAAAAGTAAAAATAGATCTCCTGGAGAAGAACTAACTGATAAATAGAACTATAACTATATTAAATTGTGAATACTTTACTCTCTCCGGATCTGTGCACATCCATGAATATCATTTCATGAACAAAGTTCTTGAATTAACTATTTTTCAACACTGACGTAAATTAATGCAATGCATATATATAAATTTCTCCATATATATTTATTTGATGTAAATAATATATAGGACTCTTGTATCACCGTGGGTGTTTTTGTGAAAATCTAATTTGGAATCTGATTCTGTCTGATGTTTGACTATTGTGATTGACAGATTGCAATTAAGTGTAGTCTCACCTGAGGTTCCTGCATATCCGAGTACTGAATATGCCGTATATGATGGGGTTTGCGGCGCTGTTTAAGGGAGCCGCACTCTGTATTAGAGTACTCAGGGCGTTGCTGGACGGGATGTGGTCATACAGATCCAGGATGTTGTACACAAAGAAGGGGCTCCAGCACAGGATGAACACTGGAACAGCGGGTTAGTGGGTTAGTGAGGCAGTGAGTTAGTGAGTGAGTTAGTGAGCATGTTAGTGGTGCAGTGAGTTAGTGGGTGAGTGTGTTAGTGAGGTAGTGAGGCAGTGAGTTACTGAGTATATTAGTGAGGCAGTGAGTTAGTGAGTGTCTTAGGCAGTGAGTTAGTGAGTGAGTTAGTGAGCATGTTAGTGATGCAGTGAGTTAGTGGAGTGTGTTAGTGTGTTAGTGTGGTAGTGAGGCAGTGAGTTACTGAGTATATTAGTGAGGCAGTGAGTTAGTGAGTGTCTTAGGCAGTGAGTTAGTGAGTGAGTTAGTGAGCATGTTAGTGATGCAGTGAGTTAGTTAGTGGGTGAGTGTGTTAGTGAGGTAGTAAGGCAGTGAGTTACTGAGTATATTAGTGAGGCAGTGAGTTAGTGAGTGTCTTAGGCAGTGAGTTAGTGAGTGTGTTAGTGAGACATTGAGGTAGTGAGTGTGTGAGGCAGTGAGTTAGTGCATGTGTAAGTGAAACAGTGAGTTAGCCATTCATTTGAGTGTGCATTGGTTTCTTATTGTTAACAAAGGATTAATATAAGTATATAGGCATATTATCGAAAACAAAGGCTTGGTGATTATGTATTGCCTTTCCACTAGCAGCAAAGCCAGAATATTTTCGCACACAGGCACGCACACACACGCACGCACGCACACACTAATATGCACACTAATCCTCAGCATTGTAGAACAGTAGTAACTTATCACCTATGACAATTATGAGCGTCATCTTGATAGTCCTGATCTTAGCCTGAGGGATGACACCACGGCCGGCATTCATCCTGTTGCACTGTAGCGTCACACGGGGGCGCTCCGTCCTCAGGCTGTCATCTGAAACAGTGTGTGAGTGAGTGATACATCACGGCGTGTCAGCTCAAAGAGGGGCAAAATGCAAAGTTAAGCCGGTCGACTTGGTGGAGCCAAAATACAGCCGGTCGACTTGGTGGAGCCAACAGGGTAATAATCGGTGTGGGACAGAGATTCGAACAAGAACTGAAGCCTCCTGGTCTACGACAAGAGTGAGTGAGTATAGTTTTACGCCGCTTTAACAATATTCCAGCAATATCACGGGCGACATGATTGAATGCAATGATTTTTGATTGTGAGCGTTTTGGTACTGTCTCACAACCATTTAATTGGTAAGTCGGTGCAATAAAGTATTAAAGAAATTGAATTAAAATTTAATCACCACCACCTCGGCCCCACCCATGTACTGTGACTGACAAATACCTTTATCACTAGCCAGCACTCAAATAATTGTTTGATTCTACAAAATATAATTTGATTTGAAACTTCACAAAATTTTAAAGGAAACACGATATTCACTAAAGCAGATAAATGTATTGGGCGGCATAGATATAACAATACAAATATTTGGGTGTTTTCAACACATGTACAAATTGTCAACGTTTCAAATACGGTAGGGTATCGTTCCTTAGCCCAGGCTTCATTTCACGAATCTTTACACAACATTACACAAAACTGCACAAAATTACAATTAGTTTTGACAATATGTTGCAGAATGAGTGATGGGTGAATAGACAAGCAAATTTAACAATAGTTTTTTGGGTTTTTGAGTTTAATTCAGAAAAAAATTCTTTTGCCCCCATGTTAAATGGTACTGTGAATTGCACTGACATGTCATGTGAAAATGGCTTTGGTTTGCAATAAGAGAGTGAGTGAGATGGTTTTTAGGAATATTCCAGCAATATCACGACGGGGGACACCAGAAATGGGCTTCACATATTGTACCCATGTGAGGAATCAAACCGGCGTGACAAGCGAACCCTTTAACCACTAGGCCACCCATAAATGTTATTAACAATCCATAAATACAATGTTTGAAAAAAATTGAAAGACGCCACACGGGTTTACACTATTATCGACAATCAAGTACTGCCTTTACCTAGCGTTCATATACTACGTACGGTCTTAAGACTACGCATGTTTCATTCCGCAAAGCAATGAACCGAACCTTAGCTCAACATTAAGATAAAGTGTTTAGCAGCATCGTGTTACACACGTACAGTCTTTATCGGTGAGGTTTCTCTGTTCCGGGACGTCGACACTGTCTTGACCTTTGGTCCAGATGATGAAGATGATGGCGACGTAACAGGCCGCGATGATCAGAGCAGGTAGGATGAACGTTACTATGGCATTCAGCGTAAAATATAACTGTAACAAAAATACTACGCTCAGTCGGTTGATGGAAAAATACAGTTAACGTAACGTTAAGAACGTTAATGTTAGTTTTCCTACACTAAGATATATTCCCAATGAATCCCTGTATCTACATACTTGAATGGGTGAATATTGGGGCCAGTGTGTAGTATTGCTAACTTTGCATTATTTAACATGCCTGATTGAAAGACATTATAAACGCGCACGCACGTACACAAACACACACATTTGACCTCAACACATCATAGTGAAACTTAGCACTGTGCAATATTCAAATTTATATGCCAGGAAAATATATATTTCCGAAGTATCTTCGGAAAGGCATTTTCAGACAAGTCATCACACACGTCGCATCATCACACGTCACAGCACGTTAATAATTTAGAGGTATAAAGTAAAAGGATTACCGATTATCGAACAAAATAGAACGCTGGCATCCATGTGTGATTAAATTGTACAAAAAATAGCGTTAAGTTTGCTTTTATGAAAAATCGATGTTTTATATGCCTTGTTGGTTAAGTGGGCCATTAGCCTAATATGCACATTTTGATTCAACAGATTAAAATATTTTTGTATGTATATTTTTTATGTTATTGATGCAAATATAATTCACCATAACTCATTTCTGCAACAGTAATCTGTAATTTTGTATAAAAATAAAGATTAGGGTAAAAAAAGAATGTGCAAGCGCATGACCCCTATGTTTGAAATGTATATTCGGGGTGTAGTGTATTATGGCAGTTTAAAGTGGTGTGTGGTCCTGTGCATAGAGCTCAGGTCACAAATCAGTTGATTTTAAGCAACTTTGAGCACGGAGAGTACTTGGATGAGTGACCGTGTTTGGCAGCTTGAGTCCTGAAAGTTTCTAGGACTTCGGTCCTGCCCCACAACGAAGTACGTACGTGTGATACATGTGGTCTCACCTTAGGCAAGTGAGTTTGTTCAAAATTGAAAATGGGTACCCGGTGAGATAAGTCATGTGACTATTAACCTTCCGGCACCTAACAGGCAGCTTGGGTTATCCGGGGTAATAATAATAATAATCAGATTGTGGTTACAGCGTCCAGTGAGCAACTTAGTCAGATGGATACTAGGCGCTATATAATGAATTATTATTATTATATTATTATTAGAGTTGATGGGCTATCACGAAGAGCATGGCTCATATGCAGGTGTCATTTGCATCTGTAGTAACATCATCCCCAGCAACATGAGCATAAGAAACGTACACACTGTTGCAGTGTCGGTCGACGGGCAATGTATAAGATATGATTCATCACTCTAACGAAGACTGATGACAGTGTTAGTTGGTGATCAATATGTAATACCTAAGGTTCGATAGGGATTGTCCTGTTATTTTAGATAATGAATGTGACTGATTGCTTGGAGATGTTGTCATTCGATATCATATATCACAAAATCGATAATAACATATCCCGCTTTAACCGCAACACCTCTTAGTGGCCATTCATATAATGCACTTTGATGTCGGATTCATTCACTGATACCTAAACTGCAAAATGTGATAAATCATAATTATTTTAAATGAACCACATCATTAATAGAATCCGATTGTGGCACGTCAATTAATCATTGGCCTATATGTGAAAATCATATACTGTAAATGATGATTATTTCAACGGAATTACATAATTGTTGAAGATTATTAATAAAATCAGATAGTGTGATATCAGTTAATCATTTCCTGAAATCTAAAAGTGAAATTTCATAAATCATGATTACTTTCACAACATCATTATTGAATGTCAGTAATAGAATCATGCATGATATCAATTTATTATGAAGTCATATGAATGTATGAATTATCAGGACATGAAATAGGGAATGAATTGGAGATATCAACATATGAATTATTAGGACATGAAACTGGGAATGAATAGGAGATATCAATATACGAATTATTAGGACATTAAACAGAACATGAGTAGTAGAACGGCGCATCTTAATCCACAAATCCACAAGAGCAACTGAGTTTGTTAACATGTCCATATATATTCTTAAAAAAGTAGAAGAACCCGAACTTTCAATTTGGATAGGACTTATAAGCGTTAACAAACTTTTCAAAGACGGACATCTCATGAACGCACCACCATTTCTCTTTATCACCACCTCTAAATAAAACGCATGGGATGCACGTACACAACGCAGTAGCCCCACACACGTGCACGTACATGACGTGTCATTCTTGATTTTGAGGTTTTCAAGAAGGTCGATAAAACACTGTAGACCATTCATTTTGACAATCATCTTGCATCACAAAGTTGTTTGTGTTTGTTTCTATCCATCTTCCATTTTTTCAATCGTATATAAAAAATGAAATTCTCCTACTTTTTTAAAGTGTATATATCCCCATACAGTACACAGCGAACGTTTTACACAAGAGTGGTCTCCCCTACCTGCCAATGCCAGAAAGACGGGAAATCCATCCAGCATTGCTTTTTGTCCTCCCTGACATCTTCAGCGTAGATAAATATTGTTGGCAGCGCGAACAGAAGACTCAATAGCCATGCCATGGACACTAGCATCCGTGCTTGATAGGCTGCAATATACAATACAACACGTCAGTGCAAAAGAATACCCCGTGATGACTGTCCTGAACATTTGGTGTAAATGGATAATGGCTGTGTAATAATATGAATAGGTCACTGAGAATCGGCGATGACACTAGGTTGAAGCATATCCGACCCTCCCAGTAGTGTTCGAACATAAGACTACCATTACCAGGCAACTAAAGACTGTTTTAACCACTGACATGTTTGTGAAGATTTGAATGGTTTAACGCCCCGCCGAGCAATAGTTCAGTTACGTCACGTCGTGTTAAGAAAATCCCTCGGTGATGCAGGTCTGAGAGGACGACGTGGCCGACCTTGACCCCAGTGACATTCAAACACAGAACACGTTCTGACTGGGTATCCGGCATACCACTCAATTAGCCTTGGCATCCAACTGAAGAACTCTTGAATCATAATAGTGTACACACGTGGTACAAGTAATTTAGACGAGGATTTCACATTGACCATGCGTGCTCTTAATTAAGCTCATAATATTCTACTGTCTCTCTTTGCAAGAAATAACAAAGTAAACGAAAACTAGAAGACAACATTCGAATATTAGCATCCGCGTACCAGATAAATATACTATTGTCTCAAGCGTACCACACTGTGGTATTCGGAATACCACTTAACGGAATTCTGCTAACCAAATCGGGATTGGCACCCTCAAGAATGCCTGTTATAAAGTGATCTTAAAAATAAACCAACCAAACAGTTATCTTTCGCGAAGCCTACGAGTCTACGTCCTAATCCCAGCCATTTGTCTTGAAATCAATAATATCAGAATAACTAGAACCTTGGTGTTGCAACAGCAGAAAACAAATGTTTGCTATTTCCGGAACAGTACCGTATTAATAGATCATTCTAACGTCATTATTTCGATCTTAATATATTTGAAACCCATCAAGAATCTTTACCCAGCAGTCTTCCTGGTGATCTTCTCGACATAAAATAACCATCTTAACTCAGGCAGGAATTCATTAGGTTATGAAAGAGTTTAACGCAAGCAGATTCTTTTTCACATTCTATCAAGTTGCAACCACCTTTGACACATTAAGAATACAGCACGTCAAGTAATGCATTAGACGTGTCTACTATGGAACCTCACTGCAATCGATAGCATTTCACGGCAGGTCTTCGGAAATGGTTTTTACGTAAAACTGCTTTGGCACCAGTGGCCTAAAATGTAAAGTAAATTTAAACAATTTCATCTCTTGCATCTTCCGCTGTTCTGATGCCATGGTTAAGAGGATCATTTGAAGCCACAGTAACAATGGGTCTTGAAGGTGGCGGAAAGAAATTCGAATTACGCTCAAAGGGCCGAGAAATATTTTTGATTAGTTCATTTGGCATTAGTTAATGTGTTGGTTATAAAGGTCAGTTGTTGTACATCTTGGGTTTGAGGTGAAACTCAACTATTCAATTAATATTACTTCAGGAACCTAAAGGAACTATGTAATAGTGTATTTTAGGAACATTGTTTTTTCATTTTTTAGGCACGGGCTGTATACTTGTCATAAAACGCATGTAAAATCATGTTCATAAATAAACTCCCCAAAAACCCGTTGATTTACGAGATATTGTAACAATTAACTTTTATGTCGTTAAAGAATAAAAAAACTTCAATAAAAAACTGCCAGAGAAAAATTAATTCCTGTGACATCATAACAAATAAATAACTTGTATATCGCTTTAGAATGATTGTAAAATAAAAATCTATAAGTAAATTGTCAGAAGTGATAAAAAATATATTCCACAAAATGCATTCACCCCACCCCAGCGGCGATTGTATGGAAACAGGAGCAACGCAGATAGTATTCAGTGACATGTTATTTTAGACTACATGGCAAAACACAATTAGCCGAGTTAGTTGAAGAGGATACATAAAGTGAAAGAGAGAACAAAAGAGACAAATTTAATTATTTCTATTTCATTGATATTAGTATCTATCATTTCAATATAAAACAAGCCATGATGACACAAGTTTATTCAACTACATTGTTTCGACATTTCAGTATGAGTGAGAGGCGCGTCTCGTGATTTTATTTTATTTTTCATTTTTTTATTACACTCAGTAGGTTACATAATTAAAGTACATTCAAAGTACGATACTGTATAAATCAGAACAGAAACAACTCCAGCTGACACTTATATCAAGGTGAACATTGACATTGGTAGTAACAGGTAGTAACTTAAGACAACTGATCTAGACATATTCAAATAGCAATAGAGGTGAACGCTAATATATGGGCAAAATAGTTAAAGCATGTTTTGTAGTACATTTCATTTTTCAAGACTGATTCTATCATTTTTAATAGCAATGTATTTTTCTACTGTGAAGACGTCTTTTAGGGTAACTTTAAATGAATTAATACATGGTCTTATGCCCTTTGATGTTCATAACAAATATATGTCATTTGGCTAGAATGATCATATGAGTTAATAAACTGTCAACACAAGAAGAAAAAAGAATGTCATTGTTTGTTATTTCAATATGTTTTCCGAATATTATATCAACATAGTTGTTAAAATCCTCCCCGAAAGATTTGACGCCTGGGCATTGTATATACACATGGTCAATATTTTCACCTTCTGACCCACAGAAAGAGCACAAATCGGAGTCAATCAATTTCATTTTTAGTAGTTCCTTTTTGGTATAAATTATTCTATGCAAGAATTTGTATTGAAATTCTAAGAGTTTTGTGTCATTTATGCCTGTCTATATCGTGAAAAAATACACTTCCAATCAATACATGTATCAACCTCTCTTTCCCATGTATTACAAACATTCGGGAAGCTGGTAGCTGAGATGAGTTTATCATAGAGAAGTCTAGAGCCTTTACCAGGATTATAAATATCGTTCCAAGGGCATACAGTTTTAACGTGAAAAAAATATATTTTAATGTTTTGCAGTGTTGTTCTCCATACCTTTGGGATGTTAAGTAATAAACGATTGTAATCAAGTATGGTACTCTTAATATTGAAAGATGTTTTAAGGTTTATGAATGGAATTATTCCGTTTTCATCACAGAGATCTTTTACATAAACTATACCTTTGTTAAACCAGTTTTTTTTATAATAAAGTTTGAGTCACGAAAGTGGTGATTTAACCAAAGCGGTTGCATTAAAATGTCGTTAATATCTTCAGTATTAACAGAATGGATCTTTACATATCTACTCCACGCCTTTAGAACATCATTCCCAAAGGGGTTTTTAATATTTAAGTAAAACGGGATTTGCACCGAAATGGAAGATATCGTCTAACCAAAACCAGAGAGATCATATTGTTTCTGTTTAGAGATGTATCTTTTTAGACATGAAATGTTTAGTGATTCAATGAATGTTTACATATCAATCATTCTTAGACCTCCATCTTTATATTTTCGTATAAGATTTATTCGTTTTATTTTGTCTTTTTTGTCGTTCCATTGAAACTTGAAAAAAGGGTGTTCAATTCTGCGATAAAATCGGATGGTGGGTTTGGAAGGGAGGTAAATATATGAACTATGGTTGATAAGGCCAACGTTTTAACTACAGTAATTTTGCCAATCAAAGTCAAATTACATTTACGCCATTTTGAAAGAATTCTTTTGATGTTGTCTAGTCTTTTTCTGGTGTTGATGACCCATAGGTTTTGTAAAGAAGCGTTCAGTGTTATTCCCAATATGGCGAAGTTTCCTTCATGCCAATCTAGATTAAGGTCGAGGGTTAGTTTTATCTTACTTCCAGCAAGTGATCCAAGCCAATTTGCTTTGGTTTATCAACGTTTATTTTCAGTCCAGACATTTTGTAAAAGCTTGATGGAGTATCTATTGCTTCCTTAAGAGAGGTCTCTGATCCATCTAAAACAATTCCGTATCATTCGCATATTGCCCTATTATGTATTCGATATCATTTAGGGTGACACCTTTTATTATTACGAATCATAATCGCTAGTATTTCGGCAACGAACAAAAACAAATACGGTGAAATTGGGTCTCCTTGTCTGCAACCTCTTTCATTTTGGAAGAAAGTAGATAAATGACCGTTTTGTACAATACAAGAAGTTGCGTTTGACATTAGCATACTTACCCATTTCTGTAATTTGTTCCCAAAGCCAAATTTATTTAGGACCATCATAATAAACTCTTTAGAAACAGTGTCAAATGCTTTTTCTAAATCAATCAGTATAATAAAGGTTTCGTCTCGTGATTTGATAACATTACTGTATCGCCAGCATTTACAGCTCTGTTGTACAAATCATATTGCTCTTGAGGAATTGATACACGGAGCAAATAGATTATTCCAAACTTAGAATAGGCATTAAAACAGGTGTCTTGAGGGAGAAGAATTGATATATAACACAAATGGCCCCAAGTCCATCGTTATCGCATTCACATATTATTTTTGTTGCAGTTAATCATTATTGACATGTACTTATAAACATAACTGACAGGGTACCGTTTTGTTTATGATACCATAACAAAATAAGAGATTTGTATCACTGATATTAATTATCACAAAGATCCGTTCGTGATGGTATACGAACGCATTAATAGAAGAGAGAACAGAAAACGACATTGACATGTACATACATCGGCACCACTAACAAATGTTAAAAAAACTAGGAAAAAGCTACAATACAAAACAAAACCAAATTAAAATGACACACAAATCCCCTCCCCCCCCCCTCTCTCTCTCTCTCTCTCACACACACAGACACACACACACACACACACACACACAGACACACACACAAGCAAAGCAAAAAAAAAGAAAAAAGAAGAAAATCAACAAGAAACAAACAGACAAAATATACAAGGTCAACATCTATAACTAAGCTATTCCTAAAACTCTAATTATATAATTTGTAAAGCTACTTGGACTGTGAGCCTCATGTCTCTGACATGACATTTGCTTCTGCTGGAAGGAGAAATAGCGTGCCGAAAGACATTCAAAGAGACGTCGTTTCAAGAGTGCTGGAACATAATGAACAATCAGCAAAGGTAGTGGGCTTGTTTTTCTAGTTCAGTTTAAATAATTGCTCTTTCTGAACTTTTATCTGTGGAAACTCTGGGGATTCCGGTAAAGAATAGGTTTTCAAGAAGCTAATAGTATTTTATAGTACAAAATGAATCGGCTTCTCAGGCTCGGTCTCTCTATTTGATTGTGTGTTATCTTACCCCTACGGCGATGTTAATATCGAGGACTGGATTGTTTGGCCTTGACTTAACTATTTACAATCCAATAGCTTCAATATATGTTACTACAAAAACAAATTATTCATTCCTGTCGCTTTGAACATGGGAGTATATCAGCTTATCGCATGTGTCATGGAAGGTTATTAGTTCGTTCCTCGAGTTAGAATCTCCGAAGGCTCGAGGCACATTACTGTTGTTCATTATCATGATATTGTTCGAAATGTGTTAAACAGTGGTATTACATGTGTACATTTCGCTGATACAGTTTGAATACTGATTGCGTCGTAAAACAACATACTATAAGATGATGCCCTCATCACATCAAATTAAATTACACTTTCATATAGCGCTACATCTCCAGATTCCTGCTCATGTGCGCTCAGTCGTGAGCTCTTTTGAAGGGATTTTTTAAAGACATGATTGAAAACTATTGATATTCTGAGATGTTTTGACACTTTCCGTCAGAGCATTCCTGAGAACAGCGCGTGATCTCCCAAATGTTCTGTCCCCGGACGTTGTGGTCGGAGGGAATGGCATGCTCTGGTGCCTTGTCCGTCAAAGCTTGTGAAGATTGTGATAGATGGATTGATGGATGGATGGATGGATGGATGGGGGATGGGTGGATAGATAGATAGATATTACATGGCTATTCATGTGCAGTAATCGTGAACGTTTAAAGCCATTTCAACTGAACGCACCTCACCTCTCACATTTGCTGATAACTGAGGCAAGTTTATTATGTATTGAATAAAGATGAGACAAGACTCTGAGGTGGAAATGAAAACATTGAATACATCGTCTTTATTGTCTCTTGGTCAGTACCATGTATTCATATTGTTCCAAAGGAAAAATGTCACTACTCAATACAGAATTACTTCCCCCTGATTAAATAGTCCTGGCAGTTTCCGGGTTTCAGATCCCAAGTACGTTTCTATAATCATTTAGATTGTATCAGTTGTCAGCCATACTACCACACCACTCTCAGACAATGACATTCATTTGTGTTGTCTGAACTTCCAACAAAATATTATCGTACGTTTTACTCCCCGTTACCCAAGGCCTGTGGGCAGGTGAAATGGAACCCTTGGCGTTGGGATTCGTTTAGACCGTATACTTACCTTAAGTTATTATCGTCCACGTTTGAGGACAAAGGTTAATGACATGGCCGGGCGATGTTTGTTTAAAGGTTTCACACAAATCTCTGCAAAAAACATATAATACTCCTGTGGATTAATACTCCAATAGGTACCAATAGGTACAAACATGTGCCAACAGGTACCAACAGTTACCAACAGCTGCCAACAGGTGTATGCCTTTAAAATGAGTAGATTCTGGTGGATACTATTGTGGTCAGACCCTGTGACCAGGGTAACTGCGTGTTATCCTGATGTTATGGATCTTAAGTTCAGTAATTGTCCGGTTCAGCCTATCTTATGCACTGGTCAGAATAATATAGCTGGGGCCCGATCCACAAAGCGTTCGTAACGTTACGACCTGTCGTAACTCTATAGTTTATCATAGGCTTACGAATGTCGTAGCGCTACGAACGCTTTGCGGATCGGGACCCTGGGCCTTGGTTTTCGAAGCTCTCTTAGCGCTAAGATAGCCGTAAGTGCCATACATTAACATTAACTTACGACTATCTTAGCGCTAAGAGAGCTTCGAAAATCTAGGCCCTGGTCTATAACTAACAGCATTCACTCACTGTATAAAAACGTATTTCTACTCACCACTTCTTGAGAAGTTCATAGGTCGAGCAACGGCGTCGTAACGGTCAATACTCAGCGACACCAACACGTACGAAGATGCATACGTCACAACAGCCTGGAATACGTATTCGTATTAAAACAAAGACACGAAAATACACAGGTAATTACACAGATGAAATATCACTACTGGACAACCTAGCTGGCTGGTTATGATGAAATAGACAAGTCGGGTATTCCACGATTAGATTTGTGTCATAAATGCCATTCCTTTGTACACTTGAAACACTGAACTGTTTTCGTAAGTATTAAAGAATAAGATGTTCAAGAGAAAATCTAACTATGGTGTTAGCTTTGTAAAACACATTTGCACCGTTTACGCTCACTGACAGGCGCAATGACAATTTAGGATATGCAGTATGCATAATATACAATATACTTGCACATGCCCTTTAAATTGAACTTTAAATTGAACTAGAGGTTACGTTCCTTCCTCACCCGTGAATATATAGGGGCCAACGATTCAAGCCACAACGAGACGAAACCAGGGAGTTCTGAGACTAATGAGAGTTCAGAGAGAGTGTTGTTTCAGCAGATTTAAGCACTATTCCAGCATCATAATGACGGATGACATCAGAAACGGGCCTGATGACATGTGGGGAATCGAACCCGTGTCTTCGGCGTGGCGAGCGAACACTTTAGGTATAGACTACCCAAGCTGCATCAGCGCGCTGAGATTTCTTTGCATAATACCTGTCACAATTGTGAGCTTAGACTAACATTTAGTGCAGGTAATAATCCTTCTAGACTTGAGGCTATTACGTGCCTATAAGCTGAACATATTGCTTCAGTGTCGTTGTGGCTCTTACAAACTGCATGCACAGGATGCTACTGTGATTCCATGAGTTATGCATTACCTGGTTTCATTACCTCGTTTCATTACCCGACTACAGACAAAACCGCCTCTCTACTACACATCAACCTGCCATATCCTCAAGGGCGATAGACGAACGTGTACAAACTGATGAAATGACAATGACAATGATATTCCACAGAAAACGAGTGAGTCTGCTCAAGCCATAACCTCTCCCGTTTATATCTATCAAAGTCATATCATTCACCGATACAGCCACTGAGTCTGGAAGCCAACAACAGAGATGGCTGTTCATCTTTTAAACATATAATTCAAATGAAAATAATCACTTTCTGTCGAGATGAAGCCAAGGATGGATGGCCAAATTCCTTGAGGATCGTGAATACCTCACATTGCAATCCCCCAACATCATTACCAAACAGGAAGGTCGAACATTTACTAGGTGGGAAAGTTGTCAGGATGAAATAATTCATATTCTGTGAACCAGAAGAGGAATAAAGAATTCCTGAACACGTGTATTTAGCAATTGAAAGTCATGACAGATGAACTCAGGCCTCGTCAGACAAGACAGCTCATCAGTCGTCTGACCATGGCTTGTGTAACGCCTTGTAATTATTGGAATTGCATGTTATATTAAAATATACGTTATACCGATTCCAGTAATCCCAGAGTCTGACATTCAGTATTCTTCCTCTGAGATGCAATTGCAGGTTACAAAAAAAATCGACAAGTCCTAGTAACCATAATTATTGCAATGTCTTCAAAGGCAGAGACCATTATATATATGATTCCGACTGGACCATAAGATTTTGTTTATGAGACACCTTTAAATTTTGATGATACTGAACAGGAAAAGCTCTGATATAAATGACGGTATGTATTCCGTGTAGGAATTGTGTATTGTAAATGAGTTCATGGTTGAATCTAAATATGGAACGTCCCAGTCAGAGAACAATCTATTTCGATTATATGCCAAAGTATATTCCTTTGGGCAATATAACCAAAGTAACGGTTAAAATAATATAAATGGATCAAAGAGAATCAATGGAGCACCAAGTCTTCGCGTAACGAGTAAGCATGTCTGCAGTTAACACCCGTCTGCGAGAAAGGTAATGGCAATTATAACATTTGCCATTCCACAAATATGTGAGTTGAGTTTAATGCCGCCTTTGGACAGTATTTCGGTGTGTGTCACCTTGGTGTGGTAGGTAAGCGGGAAGCGATGCAGGACCTAGACGTTCACCACCTGAAAAAAGCGTCAAGGTCCAGACAAGCCTGAAAACTATATTAGAGCAAATCTGGGATTCGAACTCATCCGAACTCCCATTCACAGGTTTCTGGCTCGCTGGAAACACAATTCATAGTGACGTCTTAGAATACAGGGCCCCGTTTCACAAAGCTATCGTAGCGCTACGACTGTCGTACCTCCTATACTGTAACATAGACTTACGGCAATCGTAGCGCTACGATAGCTTTGTGAAACGGGTCCCTGGGCCATCCTTGATCTCTCCACTCATATGGAGATGGTGACTCATTTAGCACGATGTGGTGTTCACATGAAGCTTCGGTATTCCTTCCTCAAAAAGCGATTTTTACAAATAATTACAATTATTGTAAAAAAACGATTGATCTGTTATAAGTTATGGTAAATTATACCGTTGAATTTCAAAAAGTACATCATTCATTTAAATTCTATCTTCTTTAAATCGCTAAATCTTTTTTCAATATATTCCATATTTATAGACATTAGCCTTTCCTTGTTGTTGTGTGTTCTATCTGCATGTTGACATGTGGCGAATTTGTCAAAGCGATCTTAGCTTTACGCCTATCTCAAGACTGAGTTACGATATGGAGATACATTCGAAGTGGTAAGACTCCTGCGAAATGACTCTAAACAATTATCGATTCTGCTATGGAACAAAAAATACCCATAATTTTCGCAAAAGTTGTTATCTTCAACAAAAATGCTGTTGTCCTTGTATCAAATAAGAGAAGCACTGCCACAGGCTTTCATTTCCCTGTCGTTACATGAACAAAGTACAGAGAGCTGAAAAATATAAAGGACAAAGAGCGAAAGAAACGAGAAATATTAGGCACTTGTGTTTGAAATGCCGATAGGCAGATGATATTTGAGGTTTGACATGGTTGGCATTACCCTTAAATTGGTCTTTCTTGGAAAGATGGTATGAATTTGAAAAAGTTTAGAATACTATAGAGTTTCAAATTGGTAAAAGATGATTTCGGTTAAAATTGAAAAAATGTAATCGTCTCAATCTAAATTATAGATTATATCACAGTTTTCAATCTCGAATACTTTCAAAATTTCTCAAAGAATCCGTGGTGTTCTTTTGCGCCATTGGTTGGTACTGATATGCGGTTATAACGCAGTTGGGGGCGGTGGAGTAGCCTAGTGGTTAAAGCGTTCGCTCGTCACACCGAAAACACGGGTTCGATTCCCCACATGGGTACATTGTGTGAAGCCCATTTCTGGTGTCCCCCGCCGTGATATTGCTGGAATATTGCTAAAAGCGGCGTAAAACTGAACTCCCTTCCTCCCTCCCTCACTCACTAGAACGCAGTTGCATATTACGAACGGTAGTCTTTATCCGTAAGCTAAGAGCATTGGTGGCAATCGTTTATTGAAATAATTGATAATTTCGGAAAAGAAACGTCTCTTCTAATTTCCCCTTAACTTTGTCAGAGCAAATATTGATAACGGCCGAGGATGACGAGGAGGAGTCTGACATGAGATGACAGTTACTTTGATTTTAAACCCGCTTTACTGTAAGAAGTGGCATTGGTTAAGCTAAGCTGATTGAAGGATGCTACGGAAATCGTATCAGTAAGACACGGCGTGTTGGCGTGTGTCCTCCAGAATACCATTCTACAAAACAACATTAGCGTTTGACTGTCTTTGTTAGGGTCTGTGGCAGTTACGATCATCTTATTGCCGAGGTCACTTTGTACAACGCCTCCCAGAACTGAACTTCTACATTCACGTTAAATAGGAATACAATAAAATATATATCTAAAGACCTGAGAATACCCAGCATACATTATCTGGCGATATAGATTCTATTCGGCTTATAAGGTAAAATAGTCTAAAAATGCCATTTAGTGAGTGAGTTTGGTTTTACGCCGATTTTTTATTCCAGCAATATCACGGCGGGGGACACATTAAATGGCCAGGCTTCACACAATGTACCTATGTGGGGAATCGAACCCGGGTCTTCGGCGTGTCGAGCGAACGCTTTCACCACTAGGCTACCCGACCGCCCCTCAATGCCATTTAGAAAGTGGTCAAATGTAACAAATGTTATATATTTGGGATGACACTTTCTCAGTAAAGTACAGATTCTACTACTTTTGTTGGGTTGAGTCCCATCTGGGATTCGAACCCAGTCTAAACATTGTATTACAAAATCACTGATAATTAGCGATGATACCAGGTGTTTGCTAAAAGGGCACACGTGTCCTATTCTACCAGTATCCCATACAACTTTTAAGTTCGTGAGTTGGGATTTACGCCGATTTAGCAAATTTTGCAGCAATATCACAGGGCACAAGAAATAGGTTTCACATATGGCCTAAAAGGGAAATCGAACCGGCTTTTCGGCGTGACGAGCGAACGCTTTAACCACTAGGCTACCCCACAGCCCGTGTTCCATGTAAACGTAATGCGTACATATGCAGTATGTGTGGTCCCACCGCTGAACTGGTGTCACGACGTCCAATCTCCGGCCATTTGTGACAACTTTGAACAAAACCCCACATTTGGGGTCAAGCTAATAGTACATCCATCGGTCCGAAGCTTGGGTTAAACACCAGTCGCTGTAGGGAGAATACAGCCACAATTAAAAGGACAATATCTCTCAAGTGAGGCTTTGAGAAGCGCTGTCTGAAGCGTGATATTAGGAGCCCAGGACGGCAGGAGTGACGTGGTCGTATTTGTCTTGTTTATTTGAGGTATCGGCGTTAAGCAGGCATTTGGGAAATAGCGAGCACTAAAACAAATTGCCTTAGGTTTTCCCTGATTTTGTCGGGAACTTTATTAGTCCAAGGCCATTAAGTCAAAGTTGTTTAGATTGTATCGTCGTGTAATGAGAGTACAGGGTGATGGCGCCTGACTGAAATAGTCAAACGATAGTGTGATGGCGATCCGATAGATCCCTAATGTTGTAGTTGTTCGCAGTGCAGTGCAGTGGATAATTATTTCAGAATCAATAAATATAACAAGAAGTATG